TAGTCTTGCTGATGAGTGTTGAGCCTCGAAAAGGACTCGGTGCGGGCTTACAACGAGAGGAATGCCAGTCCGGAAGAGTCACGTGGTCTGTTCAATTTATGACGTCACCACTGCTAATCAGCGTTGTAATAATGCCTGCACGTGCGTTTCTTTTGCATCGCCGAAATTTATGCACGATGTCTGACTGCGCACCAGCTTCATCTTCGAAACGAACTCCCGTCTGAACGAGCCACGATGACAAGCATTTATGGGATGCATAGTTCTCTTTTTGGGACCACGTGAACGTCTTAGCGCTGACATCCCACCACAAATTCATCATATAGCGAGACTCCTTCGACCATTTTACCGTCCCTCTTGAGATTGATTGGCCTTTGTTTGTAAAACCATGGGCGTCTGCTCATAGGACGATGAAACTCTACGAGCCGGTCGAGAAACGACCCTGGCGTCGGTAGAATATTAATCGGCAACTCTGGCAGCTGAGGAATTCGTCGCCAGCCTCTCCAAACGTCCCCGCTGTATTCTGATGGATTCCGGTCGAAAGAGAGTGATACGGAGACGATTAGTGGTTTCTCGATGACTAATTGGCTTCGTCTCCTCGCCGCATGACAGCTGAAGATAAAACTGACCGTAGAGACGCCCGCAGCAGACCGCCCCGCGCCGTGACTGATTTTCGAGCGGCGGGTTTGTATCTGTGTCACCTAGAACGCCTCCAGAATGTCGCCGTCTCCGTGACGAGTTTTATGCCAGCAGGTGACCACGAGGAGTAAATCATACCCCTGTGTGATTATCGCCTTACCCGGGGCGTTCGGCAGAGAGCCTCCAGCGAGGAAACCGGCCCGTACGGAGGTCGACGTATGGAAACCAGGCTTCAGTGTTGGACCCGTAATTGGTCCCATGTCAGTAGGCGGAACTATGGTCAAGCGTACCCATTTTCGGGAACGCATTTTCGTTCCCATATTTGGGAACGATAAACCCAAATATGGGAACGCCATGTAGGCATTATTTAAAACAAGAAAAAGAACCGTTAAATGACGTCCAAAAAATATAAAACGAGCGTGAACCACCTGATATTTGTCTCAATATTGTTGGGAAAGAGTTTGATATTGTAAGGCCCATCGTAGTTTCAAATCGTTCCCCTATTTCTAAAGCAGTCCATCATCCGGGCCGCGAGCCCAAATTTGGGAACGCTCTCGTACACTGGCGCTGCAAGCGTTCCTTATTATGGGAACGGCGTACCCAAAATTGGGAACGATTTCACCGACGCCTTTCAGGGGCTCTTTTCATTAACAAGCATCACGTCCAACGCCGCAAATTATTGTTAACGCAACAATCATCAGATGACCTTTCCGGCAAGACCGTCGCATGTTTCGCCCGGTCTTCTGCGCTTTTATTCCCGTCGATCTCGCAGCGGACACGCCCCCCTCTGCAGGATTACGTAATTCACAACGCTCAGCGATGTTCAACAAGGTCTTCCATACCTATATCCACCGTCCGCGCCGAGGGTGGAGACATGTCAAGCACCTGTCTGTTTATCACCGATAGTTGACGAGCACAAGGAAGTATCCAAAAATGGGAACGCTGAATATGTTACACCCTCAAAACACCTAGTCCCAATGAAAATCTAGTTTTTTCCTTTCTTGATGAGTGTAAGTGGCAAAAGGCCTGGTAGGATGGGCACGAGGAATGATCGAAATCAGCATAAAAATTATAAATAAGCCACACAGAGCTACCTATATAAGAGAAATTCCCCCAAAACGATCACGCTTAGAAACACGGAAGACAAAAACCACGCTCATGACGCTGCTTATAAAACAACTCTAAACAGCTAGCATCCAAATAAAATATGTCTATCTGGGATGATATAATACAGCTGAATAATTTTAAACCACTGAAACTGAGTTTACAACAGTAGTTCGGTAAAATCACTGACGTTCCATGCGGTCGTGCGCCCCGACACCAAATGTCACCAATATTACCCCCGGACTGTCCGCGTGTTCGCTTGCATATGTCAGCATCTGGTGTCGCTAGTATGAAACTTCATAACCAGGCGAAAATTATTATACTTGACCTCAAAATGTAAAAAACGCTTCATTTTCCTTAAAATTGCAAGTTAAATGTAGAATAACCCATGTTTTCACCATTCCGTCATTTCAAAAAATCATTAATAATATCATTCGACGGTCAATTTCCTTGTGCAACGGTCAGATTAAAGATAATTTTATAGAGACTTAGTAGATACTTAAATTAGCGTGCACTTTTTTGAAACGTGATGCACTAATGAGTTTTAGTGGGCGAACGGCCGAAAAATTACCTTCCGTTCCCATAAATGGGAACGCCCGTTCCCATATTTGGGAACTCCGTTCCCAAAAATGGGAACGTTCCTATATTTGGGTACTCATGACCATAGTTCCGCCTACTGATGTGCAGCCCACAAAGGGCTATCTGTCACCGTGGGAACACGGCCGAAAACGGTCAGTCCACGCACGTGCGGTCGTCGGCAGAGGGCCTCGGCTGGGAAAACATCACCATGGTGCTGCTGTAGAGCCTGCTGGCGGCGATGGTGCAGGTGATGACACGACAATGGTTCGGGGACATGCATGTAACCCCACCGCACGCATTCCGCTCGCTGCAAAACTATCAATGACATGCGCAGTTTGCTGCCGATGGCTCTAAGTAAATGTCTTAAAAACAACGTCTGATGTATCATCTTGATCCTCGGCATGTTCTTGTATCGTAATTATGAATTGAACTACAGTTCAAGGCCGTATAAGAGCTACAGTTCAAATTTCGTTTGAAGTGTATTATTCCAGCCAACCGGCGTTTAAGATCTAAAACAAAAACAATGACAGACTCAATCCAAGTTCCAACTTAGGACGTATAAGCTGTCAGCTTATTTATTTTATTGGGGATGTGCATTGTAACAACCGTTTTCAATTATGCATTGCATATGACTAACACGCTGTGCATCAGAAACCCCGAGGCTGTCGCCGTCCACCGGTTGCACATTAGTCGGCGTTCATGCGACACAACTTGTGACTGTCATGTTTTATGCACAAAGTCATGTCTGCCGGGCCGGTCGCGAGAATTTCACAGGCCAGGTTCCCATTTGGCCTGTTCAAATGTAAAATGTAACACCGCTGAACAAAGTGTCTACACGGGCCACCGTTCCAAATAGGGTGCTGCGGGCCGCGGCAGCAGCGAGAGGTGATTGTAATCGAATGACATCACCGTGTCGGACGATTGTGGCCGGCGTAGTATGCAGTGTTGAGATAAGCAATCTTCCAGTTCCGGCTCGATAAGGGAATGATGCCGCTATGGCGCCGGGACCGGGCGCGGCGACTCATAGTCGTTGGCCGACACAGAGACTCGGCAACTCAGAGGACATGGGACTCAGAACTCAAGGCTCGGCAACTCAGAACTCAGAAAACTGGGCAACTCAGAGGACATGGCGACTCAGAACTCGGAAGACTCGGCAGAACTCTGTGGACTCGGCAGCTCAGAACTCAGGGACTCGACCACGCAACGGCCGAATGACTCAGCTCACCTTGCATGTACGAAACATCGTTCAGCTTGATTGTTAAATAATTAGGTGTTTAAGGCCCGATATGTTGTCTTTGATGATTTTATCAACGCCCTGAGTTTCCAGATTTCCAGACAAGGTACAAAAAATGCCGATCACCTCCGTTTACGCCATATCAGGTGCAGTACAAACTGCCCAATGTCCATGTATGCCTTTTGCACGAGGCCCCATAGCATGACGGAAGAGGACGTCAAAACAGGCCCGTATTCATTGCCTTTTCTTGTAAAAGTCTAGCCGGATTTACATTCACGCTTCAACACTCAGCAACGATGAAGGAAGCTGGAAGGGGATCCCCCACACTTCACTTTCGGAGGTCTGTTCAAAGTAAAACAATAAGTACGGCATGCATCATCAGAGCATATTAGCATAAATGTATGCTCATGAACATTGAACAAATATGACTCCGCTCATGCACCCATATTATTGTTTTCTTTACGCCTGATACACTGGCCTTTATCAGTTCCGCCGCAACTACTATAAAGGTCATTAGCACAGCAATTAGTGTGATACTGGATTTCACAACCACTATCAGGTCGGGTGTTGTCTGATCCAGACACACTCAAACGACTTCACACAGCAGTTTTACCTCGTATCTTTCCCGACATCGAGTAGTGTTCCATTCAAAGCGGAGTGGGACAAGTTGCAGTCTGACTGAGTACACCTGCCTAGACCGGAAGGAAAATCGCAGGTGTGCGCGAACATCAGACGGAAGCGACTGGTAATTTATCATCGGATGAACACAGTTCTTTAGGGAAATTCCCGAGAACCATATCAGGATGCGTTAAAATGAAATAAACTACGCATGATCGCATCTTGATCGCGATTTTACCCACGGAAACAATGGTTTTGCATAGTTATTGATAAATCAGTCTCCGCGTAATTGCCTCGATGAATTCATAAATTGCCCAAGATAAGCGGCATCTAGTTGAGTAAAAGTGTGTCTTTTGGTTCATGGTCACAAAAGTAAGCGTTTTATCATCATCTTATGTCGGTAATGAGCTACATCACCCACGACCTTTCACTGCGCAGTGTGCAATGTTTTCTCAACTGGGGGCTAATTAGGCCATTTATCATTTTATACATCGATGTATGGTAGTCCGTAACCGGTTACGCTGGTGTGAAAATGGGATATTAATTATTAGAATAAACACTGGTTAGCCCTAAAACACATTAACGCCCAACATACACCCAAAGAATCATGTACACATATGAGACACAAGTACCTACGCAACTCCGTTTAGCTGCCAAAGAACGAACCGAAAAAAAAAATACCATTAGCTTCGGTGGTAGCATTTATGTAATAAGTAAGCAATTCTTCGCCTTAAAAACAGCCCTTCTCGCGATTATAAAACAGCAAGAAGTCATTATAAAACAGACGAGTCAGTATCACAAAAGAGACCGGTGTCCCTAAATGCCATACCTGAGTGCTGTAAAACGGTCAGACGAGGTCAAATGGGCCTCTTGGGGACAAATCCAGGAGCTGATACGGCACTGGACAGCTCCAAAACGGTCGTCCTGTACAGGCTCCAGAGAACGGCTGGAGGTCAGTTACTGGAGGTCGGTTTTTGATCCGTGAAGCGCTCAGCCCCGGTTCATGAATCGTTCGCACTCGGTTCACGAAAAGTACGGCCCAAATTCACGAACGAAACGTGCCAGGTTCACAGATTGTTCGCATTCACGACACAGACGTAGGGCATTTATTTAACGTATTTTCTTTTTTTCGTTTGTTTTCACAAAGTCAGGGTCTGGAGTTCACGAAGATCCCGATTTACGTCTCTCGCTTCACGAATCCGTCACTTTTGACTTTTCGTCCTTCCTGCACCCGCTTTTCACACCTCGACTTCCGTCCACTGAGTCTCACTTCACGGTCTCTCTGAGCACGAGTCGCCTCACTGTCCTCACGTTTGTCCTGTCAACCCGCTACCACCGTCTGTCTACAATTGTCCACCGACCGGCGACCACCCTTCCTGCAACCCCGCCGGCCAGCCGGCGGGCTAACTCCACCACCGTCCACCAGGGCGGCGCCACTGTACCGGCGCCCCGTCCCTGTCCGCTCGAGCCGGCGGGCCGCGCGCGACTGAAGAGCGCGCGCTTCTCAGGTGCCGGAGCGTTCACAGGGCTCCTGGCGGCCACCGGCAGTTACTGTTTGAGTTTCGGATCGTCGCTGGAGGCGGATGGATTGCTCGGACAGATGGACCAGCGCCCGAGCCGTCGCAGGCGCGTAGGTCATCCGAATGACCGCTCAACAACGTTCATGTTTAGTGTTCGTGTCTATGACGGCGTGACATGGCTGATATCCATTCAGCATGTCCAGGGAAGGCGCCATTGTTATTATGACAATGGACGGCTTTTTCAGCGTCGAGCTGATAAGGTGGCAATTAGCGTCATTGCCACGAACATACTAACCTGAAATCGTGCAATGGTGCATCTGTGGTAACACAGCAGGCCGAGCGCCGTTTATGCAAATAACGACAACTTCGAGACAGGCGTTTACGGTACGGTCACAAGCTAAGGATCTGCAGAGAAGATTATTGAATTTCAAGGCGGTTTTATAAAGAACACCGATGTCATTTCCCAAAAAAATTATGGCAGTCATTTCCAAGCATGACGTCATTTCCCATTATTTCATACCCTATAAATGAATGATACAGTCATCTAAAAATCCCTTGCTGAAACCGTGCTGAGGGCGCAACGACCACGCCTAGAGCTGTTATATTTCGCTATCATCCGTCCTTACTTTTCTCAGGACTAGCCCACTTCCGCATTCCGCACCCTTGCTTACAAGTCACACTAAATACCTACCATATCCGGGCTGACGGTCATCCCCACCAAACAACCGGTGGTGCAAGGATAGCAGTCACACTCTCCAGGGTGATCTCTCCGAGTGACCTCTCGACCCTCTCCGGGGTGACCGTATGAGTGACAAGGATGACCTGGCCATCTCTCCACCCTATCATAGAATAGAGTTCATTATATTGGCTATTGCCTTCGGCTCAACAGTGAGCACTGACCTGATCACCGACACGGCGGTGCGCCACAGTGCCAGAGCACTGAGGACTGTCCCTTCACCGTCCCATCGCCAATGGGACGGTAAAGGGACGATCCTCATCGCTGGACGGTCCACCACGCTACCATCCCATCGCGATGGGACGGTAGCGGCACGAGCAGAACAGCGTGGCGGGAGCAGCACATGTGGCTGTCTCCGCGCGCCCGCACAGCTAGAGCCCCCGACCCCCAAAAATCCGACTCGGCCGATATCGCCCCTGGCGGCAGGCCAGTCAGAAACAAAAGGGTAGATAACTGCCCATTCTGATTCTGTGTCTCGGCTTCAAAAGGAGGAGGAGGAGGGGGGGGGGGGGGAGGTACAGTCACCAGCACTTGCTACTAATCACCTCGTTTTTGCTCAGTAGTTTGAAGACCGATCAATTCTCAGTCGAGCAAGATACGTCAAACGATCGGTTTGGTCCTCCGATTTTCGAATATCTAACTTGTTTTTGTATGTTCGAAGCATTTTGGGATGAGGAGCCAAAAAACATCTTTTCCGCCCTAAAGTTGCCCCAAGAAGTCGTAGAACCTAGCCCCGCCTCTGATCCACAGACCACTAGTGCCATCTCTTGTCAGCCGAACAAACCGCAGAAGTAAATAATGTCACGTGACCTTTGCACACGCTACAATTACTACGCAGTTGTAGTGGGGGAAGCGGGGCGGAGGCGTGGAGAGGGACGCGATCGGTCGGCTGGGGTCAGGTCGCCGAGGTCAGAGGTCATCCGCCGGAGGGTGTTTGGGCGGTTGGGCCGTGTGGGCTGGGGCCTGCGGAGTGGGGAGCGCCTGGACCTGTCTGGAAACAAGTTCTACAGCGCTGTGGCAGTCGAGAATATTGTGAGAAAAGAGAGAGAGAGAGAAAGAGATAGAGGAGAGAGAGGGAGAGGGAGAGGGAGAGAGAGGGAGAGGGAGAGGGAGAGAGAGGGAGAGGGAGAGGGAGAGAGAGAGGGAGAGAGGGAAAGCGAGAGAGGGAGGGAGAGCGAGAGAGGGAGGGAGAGAGGGAGAGAGAGGGAGAGAGAAGGAGAAAGGGAGAGAGATAGAGGGAGAGAGAGAGAGAGAGAGAGAGAGAGAGAGAGAGAGAGAGAGAGAGAGAGAGAGAGAGAGAGAGAGAGAGAGAGAGAGAGAGAGAGAGAGAGAGAGAGAGAAAGAGAGAGAGAGAAAGAAGAAAGACTGGAGGGAAGGGATAAGGATGGGAGGAGAGAAAACAGACAGAAAAGGAAAACCAGGGAGGGTAAAATGAGAGAGAGGGTAATGGGTAAATCAGTGAGGGGAGCGAGAGAGAAAATATTTAAATGTGTCAGCTTGTTTCGTATGTAAAATGTAAATTTGCTTTCCATCATTTCAGCTTCGGATTGGAAATTAAATCTTAGCATCCTTATGATAAACAAACGCTGACGGGATGGGGACGTTTTTATGGTCGTCGTTTGCAGCTCGGCACTAATGGGGATGATGTTGAGGGTTTCGCAAATATTTCATAAAAGAGATGCTATTTTTTGCATCACCTATTAAACATTTTTTTTTACGTTTGCTATGAAAATGTTAGGCCCAGTTCCTTCAAGATCAGCTCCACGACTCCACAGCTTACAACAGGAGCTAGCTAACATAACAATTCACCCGAGCCGTGTTGATGGCATGAACTTTCCGTCGAGTGCTGAGGGTGTTTCACTGAGGGTGTTTCACGCCCCTCCGTCTAACTCAGCTCCTGGGCCACGTTGCGACACGCGGTAAGCGGCAATCGAAAGAGCGTCAAAAATAAGAAGGAAAACACTCGGTCATTTTAAGGTCAGGGCATAGGTCCGGTCACCAGAGTTCATCAAAGGTCAAATTTTGTCGATTTCAACGATTTTAAACACCCGACGACTAACTCTGGAACCAATAGAGTTACAGCGCCGTGGAAAAGCGCATTCGATAGCTCTTTTAACGCTCTTTCGCCAACATATCCTCAAATTTGACCTCAGATCAACGGTTTAGCCCCCAGAGGGCACCGCTCTGATTGACTTCAAATTTGACCTCAGATCAACGGTTTAGCCCCCGTGTTTTCACCGCTCTAGCACGTCTCTGTCAAATCAAAAGTTATAGTAAAAAAAACTGCTGAAGACCTTTCATGACCTGAGATGACCTCAGGGGCACACAAAGGGGGCACAGGTGCAATTTCCCGATTCAGAGTGTCATGTTTACATATGAACCGATGTTTGAGAGGGTGTAGAATGGCATTCGGCCAAAAGAGGCTCATTTCAATTTTATCCCATTGATTTATATGCAGCAGTCGTAAAATTGAACTGACCTTAGGTCACAACTCACAGATATAGAAAAAAATCTGAGATATCCATTTTATACATACTGTTACCCTAAGCAACTGAAAGTTTAAAAGTGATCGCTCAGTCGGTGTAGCCACAGCGAGCTTTCTAACTTTTTCTGAGGTAAGGTCACTTAACGTTACCTGGTGACCTGACCGGCTTGAATGACCGGGATCTGAAATTTTCATAGCATGTGCGAAAAAGATGTCGGAGCGGGTGTATCTAAAACAGCGGCGCTACGCGTCGCCGTTTTTTAGATATTCGCGAAAAACCTAGGGGGGGGGGCGTAAAAACTCCCCCCAGGACGGCGCGGATCAAACGGCCCGTGAGACCTCAGGATGGTGCCCCTGAGACCTCGGGATGGTGCCCCTGAGACCTTGGGATGGTGCCCCTGAGACTTCGAGATGGTGCCCCCTCAGACCCGGGGAGAGTGCTCCTTCAGACCTCGGATTTCGGAAAAGTGCCGCTGGAAACTTGGAATGGTGCCCCCGGAGACTTCAAGATGGTGCCCCCAGACCTCGCGATGGTGCCGCCGGAGACCTCGGGATGGTGCCCCGGACCCTCAAGATGGTGCCCTCTCCGACCGTGGGATGGTGCTCGCGGAGAACTCGGGATAGTGCCAGCTGAGAACTCGAGATGGTGCCCCGCGAACCTCGGGATGGAAATAAATGGACAATATTAAACTAAAAATTAGAAAACTAAACTTAACTAAAAAAAAACGAGGCGAGGGACAGAAATGGGCCTCCGGGAGACCCCGAAAACGGTACCCTATTCCGATAGACCTGGATGGTGCCCCCTTAGGAGACCTCTGGGTTAAAGCTCCCGTCGGTGACCTCCGTGATGAATTAAAAAAAAAACTCCGTGATGGGCCCCGGGAGACCCAAGGGGGGAGAATGGCCCCCATGCCCCCCTCTGGATCCGCCACTGAAATGATCTGACCCAAGACCTTACCTAAAAACGACCAAAAGCCTTCCTTCATTGTCCGAAAACCGCTGACAGTTGATAGCTCAATGACAATGAGCCGTGCATAAGGAGGCGTGAAAACACTCTCCTCATCTCGATCAATTACGAGAGGACCATGTCAGGGCGTGAGAAAGGTGTTCTCAAAATAGATGACACTGTATGAATCAGTAAATAATTCGCGCCCCGTTGTGTTATTGGCGGACCCTACCACCTGATGGGGTGATGCAGCCGTTTCGTCCTCCACCTGAGATCTCGGAAAGTTACCGACTGATTTTGAAAATTCGAAGAACGTTCGATAGCCCCACCAGGGAACTACCTTGTTACCAGGTTTCGTTGACCTAGGTGCAAACCATGATGTCACAGGTCAGGTCAAATGTTGCATTTTTTCACCGATTTAGTCTAAGGAATGCGTTACAGTCAGTTAACACATCAAATAAAAGGCATGCTATCGAAAAAAATCGATGGAGCGTGGTTGCCTTATACATATGTTGCCTAAAGAGGTCACTGATGCCAGGTCAGGTCACAGAGGTCAGGTCACTAAGGGTCACAATATGAACCCAACTATGCTAATTGCTAGGGTCACGTGATACATGTTTTATGGTCAATTTTACATTTAAAATTCAATGGTGTGGGCTAGACGGCCATTGGGGCCGGTTTAGATTGCGTTCTGGTGGAGGTCAGGTCAAGGTCAGGTCAAAAAAGGTTAAATTTCAGAGTTTATATTTTGCATAAAAGGGGTATCTATTCGATGCAGCTCATCACGGGAAATCCAATGGT